CAACTGTCTTATTTCTGTGTGTAAACAGTACTACAATACATTTTCTTAGCTCAGTAATATCAAGCATTTGTTTTGAAAGATGATAGTGTACTTTTATGAGCTATTTTAATGTAAAGTATCTTGTTATATTTGGCACAGTGTATACACTGTATACACTGTATACAGAAGTAGTGTATTGTATATGGGTCCTGCTGACCCAGTTTACACCTGTAATTATACATGTGTATGTGTATATGTGGGAAATTTTATGTGTGTAAGTGTATATACTATGTGTGGAGCACTAATCAGTGTGGCCTGTGGCAGCAACAGTGTGATGCATATTTAACAGGCTGACACTGGTCAGGATCAAAATAGATTTGTAAACAGCATTTACAAAAATTACAATGTGTGTCAAACATAATGCAACACTCTAAAAAATCCATAACTCAAGCACAAGACATTCAATTTTAGATTTGTGAATTGTATTCTATAGACAATTATCCAAGAAATATAGTGTCCTATGTTTTATAAAAATTGTGTGAAAATTGTGTGAAGGCAGACAAAAATGTTGAAATAGGTGTTTCCCATCTTTCAATTAGTTGCATATATACTATAACACAAACCAGCAGAAAAAATGCTCCTACATGAGTAGAATAAGACCATTTGGGCAACTTGGATTAGTAGCTTCAAAGATATAAGCCTTAAAAGTAGACCATTTTTGTCTGATTTTGGTCATAACAACCAGACAGAAAATACTCACATTAGATTGTCAGGTTGCATCCATGTTTTGATCAGTATTATTATTTCCTGTCTGTAATCATGCTTGCTTTACAATATTAGTTGGTGCAGTAAAATGGTGAGAGCTATATATACAACTGATTACTATATCACAGCAACAATTAAGAGTAGTCAGTAACCATGCACACAAGACAAGTGCAAAAAACATAATATGCATTCAATCTTCAAAGTAATATAAACTGGAACAATGGTGCTACAGACTGTGTTATATACAATTATTGGAGACAAGAATGCAGGCATGCAACTCTGTTGCATCACCCTGCCATTTCAGGCTCAAGTCCGATTATGACGAAAACAAATACGCGAGCCCTCAATATATACAATTCAATCTCCTCTTCGACAGGATATCCATATGCCTCCAAAAATCTCCTTGCTCGATCCTCTAGATAACACAGAAGCTCAGACTTCAAAAGCAACAAACACAAATGCTGTAGAAACAGGAATTACCTGAAAACTCGAATATCTCGTATATTGTCTCTGGGAAACGTACGTCATCTGGGAGCAGCTGGAACCCCTCCAGCGGCAGTTCCATGAGTCTATGACGCTCTCGTGCTGTAGTTACATTTGCACAACGGTAATTATGAGAACGAGCAATTTGAAGTTGACGCCTAGACATTCATCTTCAGTTGTCTACATGTTTTTTTAAGAAACTGAATAATTACTCGTATGCCAGCTTAAGTGTTTGAGATTGATCCATATTTGGATATGTAATGTCCAGGGAAGGAGAAAGGATATTTAACAGCTCTGTAGTGTGAACCTAGAAGCTCTGTAACACTGTATGCCTGCAGCATACGAGGGAAAGCCCAGTTACTCACCTCACTAATATCCAAGTTGTCCTACTACAGAGTGGTAGTGGTGGTTGAGTAGAGGTGCGTCGGTTGAGATCTAAGACAAAGTTCGGCAATTTCACATGACTGAACTACTTACTTAATACTCACTACTGTAATTAGTAATGCAACTTGCCCTGCCTATTGAAGAGATGCTGGTGCAGTAGTCTGCAAGTAATTTGTATTTGATATTGTTGAGACAGTGGGATACAGAACACTATTTATTTACTGTGAGGGAATATTGATTGGTGGAGAGCTTTGATGCAAACTATACATACAGAAGCAAGTAGTTTGTCTATCTAATTTAGCACGCTGGTACCGTGACTGCAAGTATGTTTGTATTTTATGTAGTTGAGGCAGTAAGGTCCAGAACACTGTTCACTGTGGACAGGCTGTGGTTATTATTGATGGGTGGAATGCTTTGATGCGAACCATACGTACAGAAGCAAATAGTTTGTCTGTCTAATTGCATGCCTGTATTGCAACCGCAAGTAATTTGTATGTGATATTGTTGTTGTGATGAGATCCAAAACCGTGTATATTATACAGTAAAATATGTCATAACGCATGACATCGGGAGAAGACTGAATCCAATGCATTATGTGCTTTATGCATTATTACATACAATTTTAGCAGGTAGACTCAATTTTGTTACGGGAAATCTTAATGCATTATGCCAAATATGCATTATAAATTGATGCATTATGACATATTTTACTGTACTATATATTCACTGCGGTTAATATTGGTTGGTGGAATGCTTCGTTACGAAGGATACGGAAGCAAAAGTTTTCCTAATTGTATATCGGTATCGTAACCGCAAGTATACATATATATATTTGTAATTTTATGTGAGTTGAGGCGATGAAAGCTCTAGAACGTCAGCACAGCTTGTGAGCAGTATTGATTGGTGGATGGAACGGTTTGTTGCGAAAGATACGGAGGCCAGAAATTTTCTAATTGCGCGTCGATACCGTAGCCCGTGAATTATTTGTCCTTTACGTTGTTGAGGCGATGAGGCCTAGAACGACATTCCTTGCAAGCAATTATATTTCGATATTTAGCGGGATGCATTGCCGTAAGGACGGGATGATCCGTTCAATAACAACAACAAACGGATATCCACCTCCCTATCGCGTAAACCCGCGATGAGCATGTAAATGAAACGTGATCTGAGGAGATAGGGCTTCGTATATACAGCATCCTAAATTCCGAAAGCGTGTTTGACGCGCGGTGAGCACATGGGTTATGAGAGATGCTCCAATGGATGACGCGCGGGGGTTGTTGTTGTTGTTCGGATGCTCCACCGCGACTGATCTCGGCCAGACCTTGCCACGTCTCGCCCCAGCCAGTCTCTTTCCTCAATTCATTTTTCGTTTCTTTTGTGTCTCTCAACTCAACACAAGCCATCCGTGCGACATGTCATCTGATTCTTAGTCTCACGCCTGCTCTGTTTCGAAAAAGAAAACGAAACATATTCACTTTCTATTCAATTCAATTCAATTCAATTCATTATTCCTGTGTCACTCGCGGAGAAAAGAAGAAAGCTGCTCAAAACACATGGAATCATTGAATCACATTGAATCATCATCCACTCACATTCAGCAAGCGGAATTCCATTCAACTCCACGTCAACGTTACTATAACTCCAACGCACTAAAACGTTGTTTTCGAACTTCGTTAGCTCACTCCCTCCCTTAGTCCCTGCGGCTCGGGGCCGTATAAATCCACGGTGCACATTGTGCATCAAAGCGCGTCTACTAGTACTAGTCGCATACATACGAAAAGCTATTTAG